GTAGTACGTACGGGGCGGGGGGGGGGGCAAACAGCTGTGCATCTCCTTCTCTCAGTGTTATAGAGGGCGGAACAATTTATGAGTTTACCCTGTATAAGCTTTTTTTATACAGGGTAAAATGGATTTATTTGGGTTTAGACCCCACTGGGAGTTGGACATCTGCATGTTAAAGACAAGAGCACTTCTGTAAACGGCTTTCAGTTTAGCCTACAGCTGTTAGGGGATGTGGTTCAGACCTGGGTCTGGGTTTGCAAGAGTCTGGCTCAAACCAGGTAGAGCACTGAAGTCCTAAGCTGATAGGGTAGGAAAGCAGGGGCAGAAGTAGTCTTGACACATCGGGTGGCAGCTCCCAAGGGGGGTTCTGTGATCTAACCCGTCACAAGAGCAATTCCCAGACGACCAGCAGGAGGCGCCGGGCCGGTGAGTCCGCATCCTCGCTACAGGTAGTAATTCAAACTCTGCACACGTCTACAATGTAATCAGATAACTGAGAATATATTCCTCTTCCCCAGAAAAATCTCTTAGGCTGGTATTTTCTCTGCGATTTACTTTTTCTGTAAGGTGCTTCTATCCTAGACATTCAACTTGCATTAATTCCTCTGTCATTAATTCTTCTTATTGTCTTTAGGCAGATTTTTTTACCAAATTTCCCAATTCTGCACTGTTCAGAAAGGGTCTACAGTTGTCATCAGTTTTCTTAGTTCTTAGCTCTTAACTTTTAAAATGTTTTATTTACCAACTGAGGTTTAGTCCTACGTACCTTAGAATTACAGACAAAACTACATTCAAAGAACATTAAGCTTGCAAAATCAGGCACTCAGAAGTTATTTCCTAACTGTATTAAAGATGCCTGTGCAATCTTAATTTGGTGCCCTTGTGAATACTGTATGCATTTTCAAATAGTCTTTAACTTAAATAATCACATGCTACTTTTTCCACAGAACCCCTGCTTCATTAAGTGCACAGGATAGACAGGTCCCAAGGAAAGTTGCATCAGTTTAATGCAGGTTTAACTCTTACTGAATTTGGTTTAGCTTGAATTGGTGAATTACCAAATTAAGATAAATCAAGTTAAGCAAGAATCAAGCCAGTTTAACCACTGTTTAACCTCATTCATAATAAGGCACTCTGATTCTGTAATAAGAGTGTTGATACACTGAATTAATCAGGAATAACTCCCCATGAACAGGTTTAATAACCTGTTAAATTTATTACTGTGAATAAAAAGCTAAATTAGCTCCCCAAAGTTAATAGTTTGTGCCATCCTGGCTGGAAAACTACTACTGCATTATGGTTTTCAAACTAAGATAATGCCTAACAATTATCCATTTATATATTCTCTCACCTCCGCTCTCATGCGTTTTGCTCGACGTGCAGGGGGACAAGTTTCAGATGGCTGAACAGACTGTCTCTGGGGAATATCGTGGGGTTTGTATTCCTTGTCCTTCGTATCACTGGTGAGGTCTGGCTTCTGCAAACACTAAAATACAGGCACAATTGTGATTACTTAATTTTCTCTACACCACTAACAGAATTCCACCTCACACAAAATTGTGTAGAGCCTTTTCTGGGCTAGAGTGAAAAGAATACATTACTTTCACTTTGCTGTAGAAACAAAATAATGAACAGTTGTTAGCTGTAACCACTGTAACAGTATCTGCTTAAACATGTAAACCACAATATTTGTTATTTCATTCAATACAATGGTGGAAATGAAATGTAAGATTATGAAGGAAGTGTTTTGTTTTTTATAAAAGGAAAATCTGATTAATCTGTTAATGTTCGTATATTGGAGCTGGTCTGAAATTCTCCAGTGGAACAGATTTCCATCAGAGAATGTGTCACATTCATCAAAATCTAACATATGTCACAGAGACTATTCAAATTTCCATGAAAGAGCATTGGAAAACTGTCAGATTTCCTGACATCTTGGCAGGCTGATGGGGAGTTGAGAGCCTGGAACCAGTTGATCTGGTGGGCTGCCATTCAGCAGGGCTTCCAACTCCTCCACAGCTCACCACATGCACCAGGCACCTGCAAGCTCTGGGAGCACTGGCTCCCCAAGGTCACGACTCCTTGGCAGCCCAGCCTCCCATGACAGCCAACTGTCCTCATAGACTTTAAGGCAGGGGTGGGGAACCTTTTTTCTGTCATGGGCCATTGACTCACCGTGGGGAGGGGGGGAGGAATCAATCATGGGCCACCGCAGCTCCAGCCACACCTCTGCTCTTCCCCCAGCCCAGATCCAGCTGCAGTTCCACTCTGCCCCCAGCCAAGCTCTGCCCTCACTCCCTCTCCACCCCCAGGCCAGCTCTGCCTCTAATCCCAGCTCCTCACTCCCATCTCCAGTTCTGCCCCCAGCTCTGCCTTCAGCCCAAAGCTCCTATGCTTAGGAAGCCTTGGCTGTGCAGTAATGGGAAATGGAGATGGGGCGGGTGGGGGGAGGGGAGGGTAGCACACCATGGACAGATTCCATTACTGGTAAGAGAGGGTGCAACAGGAAAAGTTTGGGCACCAGTGAATTAGACCTAACTATGTGGGCAAGACCCAACAGACACCTGGGAAAGAATTCTCTGTAGTAACTCAGAGCTCTCTTCATCTAGTGCCTCATCTCCAGCCACTGGCGATATTTGCCAATAGCCGTCATAGAAGAATCACAGAAGATTAGGGTTGGAAGAGACCTCAGGAGGTCATCTAGTCCAACCCCCTGCTCAAAGCAGGACCAACCCAACTAATGTTCGTATTGCAACTTGAGACTGTTACTCCTTGTTCTGTCATCTGCTACCACTGAAAACAGTCTAGATCCATCCTCTTTGGAACCCCCTTTCACATAGTTGAAAGCAGCTATCAAATCCTCCCTCATTCTTCTCTTCTGCAGACTAAACAATCCCAGTTCCCTCAGCCTCTCCTCATAAATCATGTACTCTAGCCCCCTAATCATTTTTGTTGCCCTCTGCTGGACTCCTTCCAATTTTTCCACATCCTTTTTGTAGTGTGGGGCCCGAAACTGGACACAGTACTCCAGATGAGGCCTCACCAATGCCGAATAGAGGGGAATGATCACGTCCCTCGATCTGCTGGCAGTGCTCCTACTTATACAGCCCAAAATGCTGTTAGCCTTCTTGGCAACAAGGGCACACTGTGGACTCATATCCAGCTTCTCGTCCACTGTAATCCCTAGGTCCTTTTCTGCAGCACTGCTGCCTAGCCACTTGGTCCCTAGTCTGCAGCAGTGCATGGGATTCTTCCGTCCTGAGTGCAGGACTCTGCAGTTGTCCTTGTTGAACCTGATCAGATTTCTTTTGGCCCAATCCTCTAATTTGTCTAGGTCCCTCTGTATTGTATCCCTACCCTCCAGCGAATCTACCACTCCTCCCAGTTTAGTGTCCTCTGCAAACTTGCTAAGGGTGCAATCCACACCATCCTCCAGATATAAGGAGAGGCTGAGGGAACTGGATTTATTTAGTCTGCAGAAGAGAAGAGTGAGGGGGGATTTGATAGTATCCTTCAACTACCTGAAGGAGGGTTCCAACGAGGATGGAGCTAGGCTGTTCTCAGTGGTGGCAGATGACAGAATGCGAAGCAATGGTCTCAAGTTGCAATGGGGGAGGTCTAGGTTGGATATTAGGAGAAACTATTTCACTAGGAGGGTGGTGAAGCACTGGAATGGGTTACTTAGGGAGGTGTTGTGGAATTTCCCTCCTTAGAGGTTTTTAAGGTGCGGCTTGAGAAAGCCCTGGCTGGGATGATTTATTTGGGGATTGATCCTGCTTTGAGCAGGGGGTTGGATTAGATGACCTCCTGAGGTCCCTTCCAACCCTGATATTCTATGGTAAGTCATGTGCCCCAGCCCCCTAATCATTTTCGTTGCCCTCCGCTGAATTCTCTCCAATTTGTCCACATCCTTTCTGTAGTGGGGGGCCTAAAACTGGATGCAGTACTCCAGATGTGGCCTCACCAGGTGCTGAAGAGGAGGGGAATAATCACTTATCTTGATCTGCTGGCAACGCTCCTATTAATGCATCCCAATATACCGTTAGGCTGCTTGACAACAAGGACACACTGTTGACTCATATCCAGCTTCTTGTCCACTGTAATCCCCAGGTCCTTTTCTGCAGAACTGCTGCTTAGCCTGTCAGTCCCCAGCCTCTAGCAGTGCATTGGATTCTTCTGTCCTAAGTGCAGGACTCTGCACTTGTCCTTGTTGAACCTGATCAGATTTCTTTTGGCCCAATCCTCCAATTTGTCTACGTCACTCTGGACCCTATCCCTATCCTCCAGCGTATCTACCTCTCCCCCCAGTCCAAGCCATCATCCAGATCATTAATGAATTATGAGTATACATCTCCCATTGGAGACTCCTGTGGCTCCAAACTCTTCTTCTAGTGTATCTTGCTAGGATTTAACGTTAGCCAGCTTCTGATCTCAAGCAAGCAATGGGCTAGCTTGTGACAGTGTTGTGAAAGAGAAACTAAGGGTTTTTCCTGTCTCCCAGGAGAGGCACAGCATAGGTTAGAACCATTGGGAAGCACCTCTCTCACTGACTGGTCTCAGAAAAGAAATGGTTGGGGATTCTAAGGTACAAGAGGCTGGAACAAGTTCAGTAGAACAGAGCCCTTGAGCAAGTCTACAGGTGTCTCAAAGGACCAAAAATCTTAACAAGGGGAATTTCATGCTAAGGCACCAGCCCCAAGAATGATTGTTTCTTTAGTGAATACCAAGTTATAACTACACCTGTGGTCAGATGTGTCAATGTTCAGGAAATATTACAATTCTGATCAAATTTCCTGGGTTTTTAAGTTAAGGATGACAGTGTCTAACTTATACAGGGGCCCGGTCCAGACTACAAAGTCTGTCAAAAGAAGCTGCTTTTTGTTACCACCGGTTTCCATATATCCAAACCCAAATCTGAATCCTCTCAGCATAACCCAGGCATTCTGTTGCCAAACTAAAATCACCTGAATGACTCAAGTCCTCATCCAACATACATCCACCAGTGGGAATGCCAGTGTGGGTGCTGCATTACCTGGGTCAGTGAGACTAGTCCTACAATAGCCCTGTCCCTGTGACAGTGACTGCTCTGGTCACAATTCTGATCTCTGCAGCAGAGGGGGTCACAGTGACCAGAAATCCACACCCCCAAACTTTAAGAATTCCCAGCATGTTTTAGAAATTTCACTTTTGTTGCTATCCCACTTTTGCAAGCGCATCTAGCACACTAGATCAGCATAGTTTAGCAAAAAGACAGACTTCCAGCTAAACCTCATGCTCCTGCTTGGACCGGAAAAATCCTGTATCTCCTCAGCCTGTGTGAAGAGTGCCACGGCAGGAACAGGGATGTTTATTAAGACAAGGCAGAGAGGATGCGAGTCCTGGGATGAGGAGAAATGCCTGAAAGGCAAAGGAACTGTAGGAGCTGTACCAGAAAGTGAGGGAAGGCAACAGAAAACCTGAAGCCACCCCAAACTAGCTGCTTCTATGAAGAGCTTCATGCCATACTTTGCAGGAACCTCACAACCACCATGAATGTGACTTTGAACGCATCATGAGACTTAAGAGGAGGGAAACTCAGCAGTGGCCAGCAACGACTTGCTCGGAGAAGGGAACACCAAAGGGGATTAAAACCCTACAGAAAATCAGGAACTCTTTGAAAAATAGACGAACCTCACCCAGACAAGCCCAGAGAAGAAGGGAAAACAGGGAGGGATACTGCTGCATGATTCTTTAAGTGCATTTTTTTTTCCATTGTGCCCAAAACCTCCCCCACCACTAGAAAGCTGGCTAGATCGTCGGGCTCAACGGGTAGTGATCAATGGCTCCATGTCTAGTTGGCAGCCGGTATCAAGCAGAGTGCCCCAAGGGTCAGTCCTGGGGTGGGTTTTGTTCAATATCTTCATTAATGATCTGGATGATGGGATGAATTCGGCCAAAAAGGACAGTTACCTGTTCCATAAATGGCATTTTTCGAGATGTGTTGCTCAGGTGTATTCCAAGGTTCAGGAGGTTCAACAAGGACAAGTGCAGAGTCCTGCACTTAGGACGGAAGAATCCCATGCACTGCAACAGACTAGGGACCGAATGGCTAGGTAGTAGTTCTGCAGAAAAGGACCTAGGGGTCACAGTGGACGAGAAGCTGGATATGAGTCAACAGTGTGCTCTTGTTGCCAAGAAGGCTAACAGCATTTTGGGCTGTATAAGATGGGGCATTGCCAGCAGATCGAGGAACGTGATCGTTCCCCTTTATTCGACATTGGTGAGGCCTCATCTGGAATACTGTGTCCAGTTTTGGTCCCCGCACTACAAGAAGGATGTGAAAAAATTGGAAAGAGTCCAGCGGAGGGCAACAAAAATGATTAGGGGTCTGGAGCACATGACTTATGAGGAGAGGCTGAGGGAACTGGGATTGTTTAGTCTCCAGAAGAGAAGAATGAGGGGGGATTTGATAGCAGCCTTCAACTACCTGAAGGGGAGTTCCAAAGAGGATGGAGCTCGGCTGTTCTAAGTGGTGGCAGATGACAAAACAAGGAGCAATGGTCTCAAGTTGCAGTGGGGGAGGTCCAGGTTGGATACCAGGAAACTTTAATTCACTAGCGCTGCATTGGCACACCTGACTGCGTTTCCTAGG